TTCCTATCCTGCAAGGCTCATTCACGTGGTTGCCTTCATCTGGTTCATTTGCTCGCGGCTTGGGAATAACCGGGGCATTCCCCCCTCTTTCTCTTATCTTCGATCTTATCCCCTGTTCTCCTTGTCCCTGTGGTCTTACGTCTTTATTCCTTTCATTAGTCAGGTCTGCCTGGTTCGGGGTACCCACTCTCTCACTCGGGCCCCCACTAACTTTGGTTGTCTCACTGTTGTTCCTGCAAGTCGCTCCTCCTCCTCTTCCTGTGGTCGTGTATCCCGAGTTCCCTACGTTTCTCCCCACCCCGCCTTTATCGTTCTCCCGTTCGTCCCATCTAATCCGACTAGGTTTGCCTTTCTTCTTTGTCTCCTCTTTCCCTTCATTCACCTGACTAAATCTCTTTCTATCCCCCCCCCCCTGTTCATCTCTCTTGCCGGTACCATCGTATCTAGTTCGTATTTTCCCATTTCCCTGTCTACTGTTCCTGATACCGCCGTTGGTTCCCGGGAAGGGGGGCCCCATTTCCAACCGGCTCGGGCATGCTGGAGTCGCGGGGTGGGGTAGTCGGGTCGCCACCAGTGCTGAGGGGCGGTTCGGTGTTTTTCTTTCTTTCTCTTTCGTATCCGGGTGGTTGGGGCGATTGGGGTGAAGTGGCCGGCATGTTCCCATTACCGTAGATCGGCCCGGTGGTTCATCTTCCACCCCCTTCTTATGCACGGTCACTTTTACTACTTTCCCCCTCTCCTCACCTACTTTCGCACTTCCCCTGCTTCTCCTACCCCCTACACTCCCCCCGTCTTCTTTCCTCTTTCCATTCCCTTCTCTAGTTTCTTTCTCTTTGTCCTCGTATCCACCCCCCCCACGGTCCCGATGTATCGGGGTTGCTAAACGGGGTAATCGGGTTATCCTCCCTGGCGCGGGGTGGTTTGGTGACCTGTTTCCTTCCTCCCTCGCCCATGAGCGAGTGACTATTCGTCTAGGACCTTCTGCTGCCCTGCCAGCTCTCATACTTCCACCCCTTTCTTTGCTGGCCGTATCTCTAACTTCCACCTTCTTTTTCCCTTCATTCTTGTTGCTAATCTCCCTCTCCTTACTCTCATGCGTGTCCCCTCCTTTCTGGTCCGGTTTTGCCGGGGGTGTGGGGTGGGGGGGCCGGGTCACCCTCGCTGATATGGGATGATTTGATGGCTTGTACTCCTCCCCCCTCGTGTCCAAGGGAGTGGTCATTCGTCTAAAGTTCTCTTCCTCCCTGTCAATCTCCAGGCTTCTCCCCCTTTTTCTGTTGCCCGTATCTCCTACACTTTCTTCTACCTCCCCTCCGTTCTCCCTGCTAATCCCTTTCTCCTTCCCCTTGCTCCCCTGTCTATCTCCCCTTTTTTGGTGCGGGTTCATCAGGGCTACAGAGTGGGGTGATCGGGTTGTCATTACCGACGCGGGGTGATCTAACGGGCTGTCCCTCCCCTCCTTCATATGTGGGTGGGCGGCTCTCCCTCCA